ACCATTGCCCAGACTTAATATTGATCATTTATTTCAAACATTTTTGCAAGAAATACAGATGTCTTTAGGCACTGTTCAGAAGAAATGCTCAGAAACAATGGATGCCAATGAATCTGACATCATCTGGAAAGGATTCATCAATAGATTCAACACTGTAGCTTCAAATTTGAAGAACGTCTGTTCTGATGAGGCAAAGCTCAGAGCTGAAAGGACTCTATTCTGGACTGTCAACAAAACTGAACCTCTGCTTCGTTTAGATGCTCCTCCACCTTCAACAGAATCTACTGCTACTGCATTGACTATGACTCTGGTAGAACCCTCTTCAGGATCTACAGAACCAATGGCAATTGACTCTGTTCAGGCTGCAGAACCTCCAAATTCTTCATTTGAGATAAAGACAGAACATCCAGACTTCCAAGACAAGATTGCTGCTCTGGAGGCTGGACAGTCAGAGATAAAATCCTGGATGGCTAAGCAGGACAAGAAGTCTGAGGATATGACAGAATGGATGTCAAAGCAAGATGAGAAGAATGAAACTATGACTAAGTGGATGTCCAAGCAAGAGCAATCCTCCTCTGAGATTACAAATCTATTAAAGATGCTTTTGTCCAAACACTCTTAGATTTTTTTTATTCTAATGTTTTTACATCTGTTGTTTGCATCTGTACCTTATTGCTATATCTTCTGATGATTATCTATGTACTCTTGCTCTGATATTTTGAATGAATCAAGTTTTCTCCATTGAATTATCTTATTTATTGTTCCTTTTATTTGTCTTTTTAAAAGTTTTTACTTTTTGCTTATGACAAAAAAGGGGGAGAAAATATAGATCTGAACTGTTTAATATAACTTCACCAGAATGAATCTTCAGACATATCTATTCTATCTAACATTTAACTTGACTATTTCAGAACATTTGATAAGAACACTCTATAAAAGAAACTATGAGTCTCTCAGATCATTTGTCTATTATCAAACTCTGAATCTTATATCTGCAAGACATTCTGACCCTAAAATGTTATAAGAACAAACAAGATCTAACTCTGAAGATTACTCAAGACAAAAGGGAAATTTTTATTCCTTTTTCATATTTATCTCAGGGGGAGATTCATCATCTCAGGGGGAGTTATAATTCTATATGTTCAATTAAATACTTTTTGTCATCATCAAAAAGGGGGAGATTGTTAGAACACAGATTGGTTCTTAATAATAACTCTTTGTTTTGATGATAACTGTTAGGAAATTTCATATTTAAGAATTATATACTCTAAAATTTGTTTGAGAGTTTTACTGCAAATTGAAATGAAATTAACTCTCTAGAAGCAAATCTGTATTGTACACAAGAAGTTATCCTGATTCTGAAGCGCTAGATGCATCTTACAGAAGATTCTGATTGCTCTTTACAGAAGATTCTGAGCGTAGTCTCCAGAAGGATCTGAAGCAAGAAGCTCCAGAACATTCTAAGTCAGAAGCATCTGAAGCTAGTCAGAAGCATCTGAAGCAAAGAAGAATATTGTTTGAAGAGTTTCTCAAAGCATAATTCTACAGAAGTTTCTGAAAGTACTAACGCTGCCAAGTACTGAAGTTCTGTGTCAAATATGCTCTGATGATCAACACGCTGAAAGCACACATGCTGCAGAAGACTCTGATACAGCAAAGTTCTGAATATCATTAGAAGACTCTGATCCATTCAGACTCTGAAGAACTTGCTGAAAACTGAAGAAGAAATATTCAAGAATATATCCGTTGGAGTTAATCAACGTCTCTTTCCTCTTTTGTGCTAGACACAATTACACAGACAAAAAGGATTTTTCCTGTGTTATCTACTTCAAGGAAAGGTCACTTGATGTGAAGACAAAAAGGCTCAGACCTTTTTGGGACTCTCTTTTCAACGCTCAGCATCCTTGGATCAGCTGCCTATAAAAGGAGAACTCCACCACATTCTTCAGTTACACAATTTGCTGAAAAGAAATTATATTATTCTAAGCTCTCATTCTTTCATATTCTTCTTAGAATTTCTTGTACTTAAACTTAAGAGAAAAATCACTGTTGTGATAAAAGCTTTATAGAAGCATTAATACTCTTGTATTTAATTTACATTGATTGTAAAGGATTTCCTTAAGAGGATTCAGTTGGAATCAGTAGCTCTTGAGAAGACTAAGAACAATTGTTTTTAGGTGTTACTATTATAATCAGTTTGATTTAATAGTGGATTAAGTCCTTGTTGAGAAAGGCAAATCACTCTAGGAAGGGTGGACTGGAGTAGTTGTTTAAACGAACCAGGATAAAAATAATTGTGTGATTATTTTTTAAGTCTTAATCTTTTCATACTTATTCAACCCCCCTTTTAAGTATTATCTCACCTTCAGAATATTCTATTTCTTCTTCTTCCAATGCTTCAAGGACTCCTACCTCCTCAACTATCTCAATTGAGCCAAGCCTATTTTATATAAGTTAATTATCTATTGAATCCAACTTTTACCAGCCTTCTATGTTATGCGTAACACCCCAGGCCAAATAGGGCGTGAGGTGGTTGTAACACCTTAGGCCGAAGAGAGCGGGGAGTGGTCGCCCGAATTCACATCGAAATGAAAGGATGATGGGGCTGTGCAGGGATAAAAATGCATGGTTGAAGTAAGGCTTATAAGAATTGATCGGTATTACTTATATCAACAAGATGCATCTTCTTTTCAGTAGCCTAACAGATAAGAACTTCATAGTTAAGCATGCTTGACTAAGAATAGTATTTGAGTGGGTGACCTTTTGGGAAGTTTCCTAGAAAGCGTGTGAGTAAGGATAAAACATGTTGAAAAGACCTGTGTTAGTTTGTGGAGTCAGTCAGTAATCCTTAAAGGAGTATGAGACGTTACAAATGGTATCACAATTGACCTCTACCAGTACGATGTGGTTCTGGGATGAACCAAGCGGAAATTAGTGGGCATGTAACACACGAGGCCGAAGAGGGCAAGTATGTGGTTCGGGAAACGTTTCGCTTCAAATTTGCATTATGAAAGATTTCTTTGGAGCGGAGTAACCGTTCCTCCAATGCTTGTGAATTCTGGTGTTGAACCATATTGTAAACATTATTTAGTACTTCGTTAGCGCCTTGCACACCGAGGTTGGCTTGCAACAGTTGGGAACAAGGTAATATCATTGGTCTAGGTACCATCTATGGTGCCAGGGCCTGAGCAATGATTCACCTTGCTGAAATTGTAAATTGATCCTAAGAATGGGAGAGGTTGAAAGACTCATTAAGACATTATAGGTGAAGATGATCTTGATGCGATGATGCAAATGAAGAATTTATGAGGACCTGATCGATATCGTTTTGAGGATGATGTTGTGCATCTCTTGCACCTCGAGCGGTTGTGGTTGTCTCGTGCTATGTACTGGAACAAGTAACTTTAAGCCTGCCATTGCTGGTGGATCTGGATTGAGGTCTGAGAAGCGATGTTAATCTTCAATAGTAGAGGATCAAGAACATAGACATATGGTTCAGATTAAGGAAATTTGAATTTCTAGGTTGAGGAACATTTGGTTCAGAAAATCAAGAGATGAATGTTCAAACATGAAAAACACAAGAATGAGATGTCGATTCCCACAGGCAACACCATTGTATCGTGTGGGAACCATAATTGATTGGTGATCGATGGATGTGGATTGTAAATGTGGATTTGAGCTTCCAATACGGTGAAAGAGGGTTTGACTTGCAAAATTAACACTCAAACGCTCAAGTCAGTATAAGAATAAGGTAAGGTGACTGAAATTTAAATTCGAATTACGTAAAAAAAATGGTGCACTCATATAGTATGACAATTATAATAACTCGATGATCTATCGGCATGTAATGCAAATATTTGTCTAATAGATATTGGATCTAAATTATCTACGTTTCTGACAAAGATAACATTCGTTCTGCATATGATGCGACAAGTTAAAGTTCTCATGGTCATAATTGTTGGACCTTTTTGCGCGATACATAAAAGATTTAACTTTTTTCTACTATATATTATTTTAATATATGATAATATATATAATTATTATCCCATAAAGTTCATGTATTTCTTACAATTTATAAGTTGTTGACACTATATAAACTAAAAACAAATAAAACATATTCTCTATTAAAATTAAAAATATATATAACCAAATTTCTTTTACATAATGTATATAACCAAATTTAAAAAAATTAATATAGAAATTTGGTTTTAGAAAACAGTGTAAAAATATACTTTTAATGTATATTATTTTTTCTCTTAATTTTTTGGAAAATTTTTATTTTATTTTATTTTACTATTTTAACACTAATTTCTATTAATAGATTTTTGGTATGTATCCTGAAAAAACAAGTTAACAAGATTCTTTATTTATAAGGCCGGTTAAAATTTTACATATATAGCTTTTGTACCAAAAAAGTAAATTTACATATATCTAAAAAAACCTAATTATATTAGGAAATTTGTTAAGATTGTATATTAATAATACAATAAAAAAGTAAATAGCAATGGTAGATTTGAACTTTTAATACGTTAGAAAAAGATTTGATCTATAAAATTAACACTCCAACAGCAAAATTCATATAAGAGTAAATTATCTAAATTATCTATGTCATAATATACGTTCTGCATATATATTATTTTGATATATGATAATTTTTTTACCATTTCGATAATATTTATAATTGTTATAACATAAAATTCATGAACTTCTTACCATTTATAAGTTGTTGACACTATATAAACTAAAAACAAATAAAACAATATTCTCCATTAAATATATATATATATATATATATATATATATATATATATATATATATATATATATATATATATATATATATATATATATATATATATAACCAAATTTCTTTTACATAAATTGTTAATTCTCTCTTTCAAAACACAGTTTTTCGTTTATCATCCTCTCTTTGATGGAACCAAACAAATTCTGAGCGGAACATAACGTAAGATGTTTTCTGGTTGAATTTGATTGGGACGATGATGTCGTTGCAACAGTCAAGCTTCTGTGTTACTCCTTCCTCGCTTTTCAGCCATTCACTCAAACAAAGGAACCCACTTCGTCTTCAGCAGCAACAACTGGGTTCCTTTCATTTTCCTAGAAAGGCTAAAGCTTCTGCCTTTGTAGTTTCTTCTTCTCTTGGTGCTGGTTTTTTCAATGATATCGCTCAAATTGCGCAGAATAAGGTGACCCCATTTTCCGTTTTTGTTGTTTATATGGTGAATTGACATTTGTATTCTCATTTGTTGTATTCTGTTGTTAAGGTTCTGATTGCAGCGGGTGTTTCGATGGCAATTGGGCAATTTTCTAAGCCTTTTACTTCTGTGTTTCTGTATGGTAAAAAGTTTGATATCAAGGCTCTTATTCAAGCTGGAGGTTTCCCTTCATCACACTCTTCTGTATGTTCTTCAAACCCTTCATTTCTAAATCCTACTTTCACAACACGGACACCGACACTGAATTGTCGACACCGATAATAATTTGAAAAAATCAATAAATTGAACGAAATCACAAGTGTAGTGTTGGTTTTTGACTCCGACACAGACACACCTATGTTTAGAGATGTTGGCGCGTTTATTGATTTTTGTGCAGTGGAATTTCATTTTCATTCTATTTCTCACATGGTTGTTGACATTTGTTTTCGTTTGGATATAGGCAACAGTGGCTTGTGCAACACTCCTTGGCCTTGAGAGGTAAAATAAATCAGTTGTGTTTGGTTCATGCCATTTTTCTCTCTTAAAAATATAACTGGTTATTGTTTATTATCCAAATGCAGAGGTCTCTCAGATCCAATTTTTGGTCTTGCACTTGTCTATGCTGGTCTGGTTATGTATGATGCTCAGGTGTGTGTGATGTTCTTCTGTTAAAATATGATGTTTTTAATCTATACGTTTCGCAGCACTGTCTTTTGGCATCCCTTTTAACTATGTTAGGATTTAACTGTACTTAGAATCAACCCACTATTTATGAGAAACACCGCAGAACTTGATAGACTGTGCCAAACTTAATGAAGGAATCTTAGGCCGGATTAAAATTAAAATCTTCCAAGATATTGAGTCGAAAATTTCATGAATGAGTGATCTACAAGGAAAGAATGTGATAGAAACTAGTACTAATAGTAAATATACTGCATAACAACTTCCTTTTTTTGATAAATCTCTGGATAATTGTTCTCAATCATAGATTGAACACATGCTTATATATACGAATGTGCAAAATATATGGTTAATTGAATCATAACAGTAAATTGCAAAAATCAGTGTTAGTATGTTATGGTCCCATGTCTGGAATCGTGTTAACACAATCTTAGATGCGGTAGAAGCGCTTCAACCCATGGTAAAGGCAGAAGCGGACTCGTCCTTGACATATAGTCTTTTCTTGAATTCACAAGTATTTTTGATCCGCATCTGCCTTCACCATAGGGCTTCTACCACATCTAGGACTGTGACAACACAATTCCAGACAAGGGCCCATAACATAGTATTCTTGGCTACTCCTCTTGAAACTTTTTGTTTCACTCTAAGTATCTCGCTATGACAAAACTGTTTCCAAAGTCAATGGCTTAAAGACACAAATTTTCTTTAAGCAAATTGCTACCATAGATGAAAACTGCTTAGTGTTTGTAATTCCAATCAGTTTTAATTCATTTATTTGAACTCATTTACTGAGATAAGTACGAGTAACTCCCGAGAGAGCGAATGATATATCCATAAGCTATTTTGTGCTGGTTAAGTCTTAAAATTAGCTGGTTTCGATAAGCTTTACATAATAGCTTATTGATTATCAAAATCTCGCCCTAAATCTTAAGATTTTGCGATCTCACTCACACCTAAAGGTCTATCTTAGTAGAATCATGTGTTGTCATCAAATTATGAAAACAAAAGGTAAAACCATTAATCAGGTGGGATCGACCGTTTTTATACGGTAAAACCATTAGTTATGTGCGATCAACCGTTTTTATGTGCGACCAACCGTTTTCCAGACACCACCATTACATGGTGAGAAAGATGACAAGATATAGAGGCACAATAATTATGGCTAATTACGGCTCGGCGGCGTACTATGCCTACGAAAATACATGTATAAATACTTCAAATATAAAATACATGTATAAATATTTCAAATATTTAGTAATAATTTTCCGTTTAGTAATATAGACCCTCTGATCTTACAAAATAATTGAGTAAGATCTTCTTATCTTAATTAAGAGATCTTACTATTCTCTCTCGATCTTATGCAAGATCTCTGAAAACAACTTAACTTATATGAAAATAGTTTTATTTTTATTTTTTTCAATAATATCTTGCACATGCAATTAATTTGCTTATCAAACAGGGTCTTAGTTATATTATTCTACAAAACCTTTATCCTTTGTTCATTTTGTATCTGTTTATAGAATTTGATTGTTTTTGTTATCAATGGATGTGTCCTGTTTAGCTTACCATCAAGACTGTGGCTTCTGTAATTTGCAGGGTGTAAGAAGAGAAGTAGGGATTCATGCTAGGACAATGAACAAACTACTTCTCCATATGCATGTCAACTACTTGCATTCCAAACAGAAAGATGTTTTGATCAACTCTCAATCTGGTTCATCCATTCCACCAAAACTAGAAGAAACTCAGGAAACCACTTCTTTGGAAGCACAACAAGGCAATGCGCGTGTATTAGTTAAACCAGAAGGCAAAATAAGACAAAGTGATGAGGAGTTACTATCAACCTCTGGCTTCTCAGAGGAAATCTCAAATTTGGTTGGTGATGGTTTACTGCCATTTAAAGAATCTGTTGGTCACACTGATGTTGAAGTCGTAGCTGGTGGTTTACTTGGATTTTTGGTGGGTTTGGCTGTGTTTGTTTTAAAGTAAAGTCTTGATTTTTGATGAAGCATTTTAGAAAGGGATACCTTATATTGAATAGGTTATAGAAATGAAAGTAAGAGAGAGAGAGAGAGTTATAGCTGGATCTGGATTTATGGTTGGATTCTTTGAACAAATATTATGTGTATCATATTATCTTTTATCAAATGGAAATAAAATAAAAAAACAAGATATTATGTGCCTCTTCATAATTTTAGTTAAGATCACATAAAGTTGATAAGAAAAAATGAAAAAACCCATAAAACAAACGTGGCAGAAAACTAGAGGCAAAGTGACATTTGGCACAAGTCATGTACACGTGTAGATTTATGGCATGTTAACATAACACGTGGGTAGATATTAGCATCTAACTCCTACTATGTAAAGTTTATAAATGAATGATTAATAAAGAGTGAAAAACCATACTTATAATATAAGAGATTTGAAGGAAGAAAATAGAGGTTATTAGAGAGAATGTCAGGGGCACAAGGAGCACAACCAAAAGAGTCAAAGACAGCAACAACATATGAATCAATAGAAGGAGGACAGAATCGTACAAGAACTGATTTGCTTTCAAAGGAGGATCAAGAAGGCATTCAAGTGGATAAGCTTCAAGAGAAGGTCCGTGATCCTGCTGGAAAAGGAGGTCCTGTTTTTGGTGCTGGTAGAGATGAAAATAAGAAAGACCTTGGTGTCACAGGCACTGGCTAATTATCATGGTGCTTGCTTCTTCTGTCTTTTTTTTTGTTCTTGTAAATGGGACTTTTTTGTGGAATAAAAAGGAATGATGTATGTTATGAATTATCTTGGTGCATGTTTTGGTTCTCCTTTTATTTTACATCAACTTTGTTTTGTTTGTATGTTGGAAATTTCTATGCTAGAAATTTAAAAAGTACATACTATATATCATTGATATTTGGAAAATAGAGAAATTTGTGAACAAGTATTTCCAACTATGTTCTAGACAGTGGGAGGAGGTGTAGGTGATTATTTGACAGATGTGAGTGTTATTAATGCTTCTATCTATTCAAGGGAAGTGTTAATTTGGAGTTGAGTTGAGTTATAATTTTAAATTCAAAATTCAAATCAAATAACTATCATTCTCTGGTTAATTCTAATTCTATAACAGAACAATGACATTGTTTATGGGAGTGGATTTATTATTCATGTGTTCAAGATCTCATGTTTTCGTTTTGATTGAAGCTTCTTTAATTTTTTATATTTGAAGTTTTTATGATCAAATCCACTATTTGCAATCTATTTTAGTAATTGATTAACTCTTATTATCAGGTTCCTGTATTCTAGATCTTCAAACCTTTTTTTTTTTACGATGGTTGGATCCAAAGCTACTTGTTTTGTCAGCCTTACGCGAAGCAGTTACCGCTGCCGCTCAAGCTGCAAGAAATTATACATCTCATTCTCTTCGAGACAACATAGATCAAGCATGTCGTAAACACTAATTTGTATCCAGGTCTACTCCAACCTCCTCGGATCGGTCCCGACACCAGCCTCAAGACCAGCAATGTTACCTGGTTTCTAACTGCGAGATACTAACGTTTGAGTGAAAGGTTCTAACGAGTTACTAAATAAAATGTATAATATTGTTCGGTAACAAAACTCACAAGCTATAGAGAAAATCTTGTTTCACCTAGAAGAGAGTCCGCACAACGCGCCTTTAAAGAAAAATACCGCACAAATTGTTTCTAAGAAGGACCAAGATGTCATTCCCAAGTTGACCGTGTCATGGAGGAATAAAGCTCCAAAATTGCAGAATTATGCTAAGAGGAAAATACATCATACTCAGCCTCAGAGCTCCTCGAGAGAGTGTGGTAGTCATATGCCTCCTCGAGAGTAGGTAGAGAAACCACCAGCGAGGAGTCCACAAAAGACATAGAGAAGTCATTGGAGAAGCCTTCGAAGCCTTCTAAGTTAAAAATGTTCTCTAAACACTAGAGGTCAATAGTGACTTAATTATGATATCCCGTTAAATATATGAATGATATTATTATAATATCAGTAGTTGAGCTTTATTGTGAAGTGGAATAACATTAACTCATTGAGACTATTATGTGGATAGATTAATTATTACATCTTATGTATCATAGATAAAGACTAATTATTTATAGTGGATTGACCTGCTATGAGAATACTATATAGAATGTTATATAAAATGCTATACGTTATTTTCATAATGATAGTGGTGTATAACATCCTTCGACCTGAAATCACTATGAATCCTAGATATGGAGTCGAGTATTTTATTAATGATAAAACATTGCCTGTAAATGGATTACCATAAAGACAGTTAACAGGTACTCCACAAATCATGTTGAGGAACATGAGTGATCTAGATGGAATGTGCCCATACTCTGTAACAGGATAAATGTATAAGGGTCCAATATTGAATTAGACAAGGATGACACAGTATATGCCTCATGTTCAATATACATGATGACAAAAAGGTAATTGTACACACAAGCATTATCACGAAAAGATTTTGTCAGATCACATGACATTTTTGTTTAGTTAAGAGTTAGCCTAGAAAGGAAAGGCTTTGAAAGCAAGTCAAGCATTTCAATTCCAGCGGGTTAATCAATAGCAGTAGAGTCGTAAGCAAGATTTTTATTAAGCATAAGTTCTATTACAAGTAAATAGAAGTTATGTATTGCTAGATACCACTAAATGTTCATTATATTAAATGTGTGATTTAATATAATTGTCAACGTCACATGAACATATAGATCACACATATAAGAACAAATTGATAAGAGATATAATAAATACGTGAAATAAGTAACACTGGAAGGTACGATATACTTAAGAGGATTATGAAACACCGTAAGACACAATACACTTAATTGAAATATGAAATACGATAAGGTACCGTGCGCTTAAGTGAAATATAGTAATATATAATGTACAATGTACTTAAGTGAGATTTTTAGCTTGCAACTCACACAAGTGGTTCTATAAGTAAAATCCTTGTGTAAAAGCTTTCACACTTGATTAAATTTTGTTTGTGAAACTTTGGTCATAATTTCTTTCTTTCTCTCTCATTCAAAGTTTTCATTCGTAGCAGTTAGCACTGAGATTGAAGGCACTATGTTCGTGTGGACTGAGTAGAGGTATTGTTCTTCATTTAACGCTCGTTATAATTCTTAAGGGAATTCCTTCAATCTCATTGCTAGCTACTACAAATGAAGACTTTGAGTGAGAGAGAAAGAAAGAAATTACAGTCGAAGTTTCTCAAATAAAATTTCGTCAAGCGTGAAAGCTTTTGCACAAGGGTTCTATTTTATAGAACTACCTGTGTAGGCTGCAAGATAAAAATTTCACTTAAATGCACCATATTTTATAGTGTACGATATTTCACTTAAGCCCACGATACTTTACTGTATTCCATATTCAACTTAAGCGGGATTCTATAATTTACTTAAGTGCATTGTATCTTAAGGTGTTCCGTAATTCTCTTAAGTACGTCGTACCTTACAGTGTTTCTTATTTATTATATCTCTCATGAATTTGCTCTTATGTGTGTGACCCTGTAGGTTCTCGTGAGGTTGGCAATTATATTAAATCACATTTAATTTAATAAATATTGATCGATATCTAGCAACACATCACTGCTACCCAAATCATGAAAATGTCACGTGATCTGACAAAATCTTTCTATGATAATGCTTGTGTGTATAATTACCCTTTTACCCTTGTATCTATATTAAACATAAGACGTATACTCTGTCACCCTTGTCCATATCAATATTGGGCCCTTCGACATTTATCCTGTTACGCAGGATGAGAAAATTCCATCTAGGTCACGCATGTCCCTCATCATGATTTGTGGAGTACCCATCAACCGTATTTATGGTTATCTAGTTACAGACAATGTTTGATCAACAATAACGTATTTGACTCTATATCTATGATCCATAATGGTTTTATGTTGAAGGATGATATACACCATTATTACTTTAAGAATAACTTATGACACTTTGTGTAACATTTTATGTAGTATTGTCATAACGGGTCAATTCAGTATATATATTACTCATAATATGCATACATATGTGAAGACTTGATAACTCATTATTCATGATCCATGAGACACTACTATAAATAATCCATTTTATGACAAAGTTTTCACCTCACCTAACAAAAAATCGAGGTATAATATACCAAGAAGTTCCATGTTTTATTTTTTTTTTAAAAATAAATACTATATATTCCCTCGGTTTCTAAATATAACTGAGGGAAAAAATAGTTCAGGACAACTTTGAATCCCAGCAAATGCAGTTTATATTTTTATTTTTTTTAAAAGTTGTGACTTTCTTTTTATTTTATTTTTTATTTTTAAATCAATGATTTATTCCTTTGGTTTTCTTTAATCAATAAGAAATTAGATAAGTAGATTTTATTATAAAAGCATTCATTTATCAGATTTTACTATAAACCTAACTTATATGTAACCGTTTTAAAATTGTACACATCATTCTTTGGGATGAATTACAAGATTAAAAAAAATCTTTATTGTTCTTCTATTTTGAACAAAATATTTTTTTCTGTCATTGTAATTTATCTCACATAATGGTGTTGATGTTGTCGTTGTATTTTTGTAATAACATTCCTATATTGTCAATAAAAAAAACACTAAATAATTTATTGCTTTTCTTGGTTGATAATATCGAGAAATTTATTCCTAAATGTATTATAAATTGCAAGCAATTGTAGTAAAAAATTATGAATGATAAAAAATTGAAAAGGAAACAAGCTATGTTACTTTCAAATTTTTATCATTCACCATTTTTTGTAAGTAATATATTACCTTGTTTTTTTTAAATCGAAGGAAAAAATCTTATTTTAACAATGCTCAAGATATTGTCAACACATCAATCCACATGAAACTCTCTACATCCACCACTATATATCTTGTTCTCTTTCTTGTGAAAATATTTGTCATGAAAACATTTGCTCAAGATAATGAAATCTTTGAGCAGATATCTGGGATAGAT